TGGCCTGGAGCGGAGAACCTAGTTTAAGAACCACTGATATAGGGCATATACATAATGCTTACATAAGCATATATAGAATTGGGAAACTAATAAGGGATGATTGTTACAGCAGATGTTTTCTGTTGGGGAGTCAATAGGGAAGGTTGATTGTGGGGTAAGAAGGACCCATTGGGAGAGATTATCTTGAAGAATTGTTAGTCTTCTCAGCTGTGAATAATCAGGCCTTCACACATAAACCAGGTAAACTGAGAATGTATAGAAATGACATCAGAACATATGTTCCTGGGGAATATTCTTGCAAAAAAGGTTTTTTTGTCTACAACCCTATATAATGATATTGGTAAGGGAACTTCATTGGGGAAATGAAGGCTGCGCTTCCCTCCAGATACAGTGAGACAGAGCCAGCTCTTGATAGGGTAATAATGTATCTCTTTCTGTATTCTGTATAGTGCTGGACTAATCTCTGATTGATAATCTTAGATTAAATAATTCCAATTTAGCCCATTGTTTGAAAACCTTGAGTCCTTAAATCAGACATGCAACAAAGCAATGAGTTGAACTGGAACTGCTGGAGACAGCACGATGGGCAGTGTAACCGCACCGAGAGCTGGTAAGACCAGCGTTGTGTGTTGCTGCTCCATGGGTTCCTCTTCAACACAACTTGGTGGGGCGGGAACATTCAGGACTAATCCCCATAGCAGAGGCAACCTGCTCTCATCAGAACAATATTCCTACTCTCCACTGCAGAGGGAGTTTTCAAACCATGAATTATGCGAACAGCATGTAACTCTTTCTGAGTAAGAAGGCTAGCTAGAGAACAGAACTGTGCATCACTAGATTAAGTGTTAAACAAACAAAATCCCTAGAATTCCTTGGTATGTTAGCACCATAGCTGTTAATGGCTGAATTGTTTTAGTGGAAAAATACACAAGTCATTTAATCCTAAATTAGTTGGTGCTGTCATATCCTCTCAGGAGGATATTTTGAGATTTTCTTCTTTCATGTGTTTTTATACATTCGTGTATACATGTAGCAGATGATGAAACTCTGATGAAGAACTCCTGCATTCACCTAGTCACGTACATTTCCTTCCCTGTGGGCAGATTACTTGAGCCTAAAGTGATCAGCTAAAATGAGGACCCTGGGGGACTCAGAATGATAAAACAGCAATAATAGCTCTCATTCCTATACCAACTGTTCACTAACTGCCTTTTTTTCCCCCTTAAATTTTACAGAACAAAAATAACAGAAATGCAGGAGAATTAATCATATAGAATTGAAAATGATTTCTCCACATCATAAACTTCCTCAGTGGATGTCTGCAGAGAGTAAAGACAATGCTGTGGGTGACAAAAAGGTAGGATCTGATGTGAAAATCTAGTTGTGCTACATTACGCAGATGGTTTGGACTAACATTCAATTTTATTACATTTTCAGCTTGCGCCATTGTTCCAGTATTCATTGTTAATATATTTACAGCTTGTCTGTAGATTAATTGTATATATGTGGTACGTTTTTGATTGATGATCCATTTTGCCGTACATCATTTTTCATTTGACAGAACAACAATCTTAATATAAATTTCACCATGTAATATGTTAATACCTGTTAGTAAATAGTAATACTTTTAGTTCTTTCTTTCTGTATATTTGATTCATTTATATCTATTAACTATTCTTTAGAATCTGTATCTTCAACAAAGAGTATATCTGAATTCTAAGGCCCAGAACACTGGTCCTTAACCAGTAAGTTACCCTATTTTGGAATGTATTCATTATGCTGTATTTAATAATGTTAGGGTGCCTTCATGTCTCTAAAACTCCAGATATTCTTGGAAACCATCTCCTTAACATTTTATATAATTTTATTTATATATATATAATGTTGACATAAGCATATCTAGACTTAGGAAACTAATAAGAGATAATTGTCATAGCAGATGTTTTCTGTTGGGGGAATCAATATGGAAGAATGATTGTGGGGTAAGAAAGACCCACTGAGAGATATTAACTTGAAGAATTGTTAGTGCTCTCAGCAGTAAATAATCATGCCTTGACATGAGAGAGAATATATAGAAATGACATTACAACATATGTTTCTGGGAGAATATTCTTGGAAACTGGGTTTCCTTTGTTGGAAACCGTATATAATGATTGTGATAAGAAAACTTGGGCGGGGGGGATGAAAACTGCATGTCCCTTCCAGATGCAGGTAAGATACATATACAGCTCTTAGTCTGACAACAAAGGGTAGTAATGTATTTATTTCTGTATTCTGTATAGTGCTGTATTTATCTCTGATTAATAATCTTAGATTAAATTTAAATTGAGCCTGTTATTTCAACAATATCGAGTCGTTAACACAGACATGCAACAAATATAATCCGCTCTGTCTATCAGTGACTAAACAACAACATGGTATGAGGATTAAATTAATCAATAGCAGTCAAGACATGACTGTTACTGTGTATAAAACACTGAGTAGTACATTACTGTAGCTGATAGGGAGCCACGGACAGTGCCCTTGGGTACTCTGATCTATCTTGCCACCCAGGCAAGCCTTCCTCTGTGATAGGTGGTCCCTAAGGTTATGTCTACACAGCAAAGAAAGACCCGTGGCTGGCCTGTGCCAGCCGACTTGAGCTCATGGGGCTCAGACTCCAGGGCTGTTTATTGCTGTATAGACTTCTGGGCTCAGGCTGGAGCACGGGCTCTAGGATCCTCCCACCTCGCAGGGTCCTGGAGACCGGGCTCCAGCCTAAGCCCAGATGTCTACAAAGCCTTGAAATAGCCCCGCAGCCTGAGCCTTGCTAGCCCGAGTCAGCTGGCACAGGCCAGACGTGGTTTTTTCTTTGCTGTGTAGACGTACCCTTGCACCAAAAATCACAGTTATATTCAGATGACTCCTAGTCCCAGAGGACCAGTCACTTACCCCAGGTCAGTTGCATCTCAGATCTCAAACCAAAGACAATGCTTGTAGCCAATCCTGTAATTAACTAAAGGTTTATTAACTAGGAAAAAGAAATATGTTGTTTACAAGGTTAAAGCAGATAAACGCACACGAATGAGTTGCAGTCTTAAGTTTCAAAAGTTAATAGAAATTTATCTAATAAGCCAACTCTGTGTCCTTTAGGGCTAACCCACACTAGACAGCAGGGGACTCTTTGCTTATGCCTAGAAGTCTTCGCCCCTAAGCGTTCAAGCAGCATTTCTCCTTAACAGACATTTTTATTCCATTCCCCAAGTGTTCAGTCCGTGATGAGATGAGGGCTTGTGCACCTGCCGTTTTCAGGAGCAGGGGGGAAGCAATCAGCAAGTCTTTTGTCCACAATGACTTGTCTGATGTCTGTAGACCTTCTTTTATTGGGGAGGAGAGGACACCTCTTGTGGTAACGTAGCATTTCACACTTGGTAATGCTTCTCCCTGGATAGTGGGGGATTTACAGTCTTTGCAAACATTTTTATAGTTACAGAGCAAACATTACCTTATAACATGGTATTATGAGTAGGATTAATACACACAGCATCCTACAAGCATTCCATAAAATCTAAACAACTCAACACATTCTTATAACTCTGATATTTATTTTAGCAATGCTAACGCACAGTTGAGCCAGATTGGTTTTTGTCAGTGTTCAGTGAGGCCATGCATCTAGTTTTGGGTCTTCCAAACTGTCTTTTTCTTACCTTCCACTTCTAAGTTTAACACCCTGTTTCCTGCATAGTCTTCCTATATGGCGCATTTTATTAAGAGGGGTCTTGGTGATGCATGAAGGCTCAATGGGTTGAGAGAGTCGAGGGAGGGAACGACTACAATGGGATCTGTGAAGGAGTGTGTACATTACTCCTGAGGGCATTCTGTACCAAAAAATTAAAAATTCTGTGCACAATATTTTAAAATTCTGCAAATTTTATTTGTCAATTGTTGGAGGCTCCAGCATAGCATTGGGGAGCACAGGCCACTGGCTGCACAGAGGTGGGAGATCACTGTGCAGCACCCAACGGGACATGGACTCAGCAGTGAGGCTGCACCCAACCCTGACACAGCGCAAGGACCGTCCAAGAAACATCCCAGGGCCCTGCCCCTCCGTGCCAGGTGCACCAGGTGGGGACAGGCAGGCTCAGCAAGGCAGGATCCAAGTGTGGAGTGGCTTAGTGTGGGGGGATCCAGGTGTGGGTTGAGAGGGCAATCTGGGTGCGGGTGGCTCAGTGGGGGATCTGGGTGCAGAGGGGATCTGGATTGGGGTGTTCTGGGTGCAACGGTAATGGGACTCTGCAGGAGGGTCCAGGTGAAGGTGGTTGGGACTCAGCGGGGGGGAGGTCGGGTGTGTGGGGGAGATAGAGCTCGGCAGGGGATATGGGTGTGGGGGCCTCAGGGGAGGCCAAGATGCTGGGGCAGTGGGGCTCAGTGGGGTGGGGATCCAGGTGCAGCTGGTTGGGGCTCAGTGGGGTGGGGATCTGGGTGCAGGTGGGTTGGTGGGGTGGTCCAGGTGTAGGGGGAGTGGGGCTCATCGTGAGGGTTCTGAGTGTGCGGGGCAACGCTCAGCAGGAGGGCCTGGATACACGGGGCTTGGGTGGATGGGGGAGTAGCTCCCTGTACAGGGATCCCTCCCCCTGCAGCTGAGGAGCGATGGGTGTGGGGAGTGGAGGGGGAGAGAGTTTGCAGAGCTTCCTGCAGCTGGGGGAGAAATCTGAGGGTGGGTCTGACCTGGCCCCAGATGCTGTGCAGAGAAGAGGAACCAGCCGGGACTAGCAGCTCAGTTGGTGCAGGGTAGGAACCACCAGCTGGGTCTTCTCCAGTCCCGCCTCCTGCCCCACAGTGATTTACCTCTCTGCTGGCTGGCCTGGGCCCACAAAACACACTGTGGGTGGGGTGGGGGGGTTGCATGACTGCTCTTGTGGCTTCCCTTTGCTTCCCATCAGAAAGTCATTTTTCTGCAGGGAAGCAAAGAAATCTGCGGGGGACATCAATTCTGCACATGCGCAGTGGTGCAGAATTCCCTTAGGAGTAGTACATGCAGCTGCTTACAGAGAAGACTACATGCATCAGCAGTTTCTGGTGCACATGAACCCTTATATCCCCGGAGATGTACACAAGAAACAAACAAACAAAAACCAATACTTCTCTGTTATGAGCAGAAGCTGCACATTACAAGACAGCAGCTGAATATAAGTGGCACATAGTTATGTACAAATTTTTTTGCTTATGATCAATAACTATCAACAAAGATCTGAAATGCAGTTTCCCTCACCCCCAAAGGTTGCAGCTGATCTTATCAGGATATACCTCTCAATCAAGAGATGGATGCACTGCTATGGACAAATTTCAGCCAGAGCCAAATTATAAATCCTTTCTATTTTAAAAAAAAAAAAAAGAAAACCAACCCATTAACACATTTCCCCCGACCCCACACCCCCCCCCCCCAAAAAACCTTAACCAAAACTGAAAAGAAAATTCAAAGGCTCTAAAAACTGAAATTTCACACCAAAAGGCTACTACCTACATTTACAGAGAACAATTTTATTTCCGCTTTAGAATGTAACCATAACTATGGAGATGCTACTGTGTCCATGATATGCACTGTGGCCAGTTTGTGTCGCCTTGAAGGTGCTATGGATTATTTTTCTCCTGTGGGTCTGACTCAAGGTTGTTTCCAAAGCTAGGTATTTCTTACTGTAGTGTGTTATGTTGGCTGCCAAATAACTGATGGCTTGTTATCGGTACAAAATGGTATGTTCTGTACAGAGTAGAATTCGCTAACGTGATGCTGCCAAGGACAAGCTGTGTTCAGCATTGTGTCAGGTGTTTAAGGATAAACCCTGATCTACACTGACCGCATAGTCACAGCCAGCATTGTTTGATTACTCTAATTTTTAGTCCCGCCCTAGTGCTGTTAATGTCTAGCAAAGACAAGGCCTGAGCCACTGTCTTAGACGTAATAAGTTTTATAAGAAGGAACAAAATAAAAATGTTAACCAAGTATAGATGAGATGAAATATCAACTACAATTGATATTACACTTAATATGTATATGGTAGTTTGATTCTTCAGGGCACCTGACTAATAATTTAAAAATTACTCTTCTGCAGCCCAACGTTTCACATGCTCCTGGGTGTTTGGGCTACGCTCCTCTCTGCAGCTTCGTGGAGGTAGATCAGCCTTTTGGTGCTGCATGCTCTAGTCACGCCCTCTCTGCTGCTGTTTGCTGCCAGACTCTGCCTTTGCAGCAGCAAACGGTGGCAGTTTCTGTTTCTCCCACCCTTACTCTTCTGTTTTCGCTTGTTTTGCCCAGATTTTGTGAAGTGGGGAGCAGTGTTCTTCCTCTTCCTCCCTGGGTTGGTTATCCCTCAGGTTTAACCCTCCTTCAGTCTCCACTGCAGCGTCTCCCTGCCTGCTCTTCTCCCCCTGTAGAGGCATGACAGGGCAGCCAGGAAAGCACTGGGTCAAATCCAAGCGGTGCTCTATATGTGATGCAGCCTTTCCAGGCTCAACAGATGGGGAGTTGTGCCCAGACTGCACCCAGCCTTCTGTCTCAAACTCTCTTAGGTCCCCCTTCACTCCTCCTTTGAGGAAGTGATTAGGGATGAATTGAACAAGTCTGATAAGGGCAAGCACATTCACAAGAGCCCCCCACCTCAGGGTCTGTAACATGCAAGAGCCAAAGGCCTCTATTGCTGAGACATCAGGGGTGGACGCTGCAGTAGCATCCCTCGCCAGGGATATGGTTATTCCCTCAGGAGGGGAGTTCTCCCCGAAGGATCCCATAGATAGAAAGATGGAAGCCACTCTCCAAAAGGACTTTGAAGTCTCCTCTGCCACCCTCCGAGCGTCCTTGGCAGTTCCCTGCTTGGCTGGAGCATCTCTTTCCTGGACGGAAGATCTCAAAGGCCTTAAGCCCAGAGATCACCTTATCTTTGGTTCCATTTTAAAGAGCATCTCCCTAACAACAGAATTTGTAGCTGAAGCCTCAGTGGATACGATCAGGCTGTCAGTCCAAGCCATGGCTTCTAGCTGAATAGCCAGGCACCACCTATGGCTCTGACCCTGGAAGGTGGATACTCACTCTGAGCAAGTCCTATGCTCAGCCAAGTTTACAGTTTCCCTCCTTTTTGGAGAAAAAGTTGGCTACGTTGGTGGCTGACAATGTGGCAAAATCCACACAGCCTCTCCCGTCCCCACTAACTGCCCTCAGGAGAGACTGTGGACCAGCCTTCAGACAGAGGCACTCCTTTCGCTCCTCATCTTTGCAGAGGTACCAGCAAAGGGACACAGATTCTTCCAGGGAAAACAGTGGAATCAGGCCCTGGGGTTGGGAAGTGTTGAGGGAGCAGCTCGCACCCGCCAATCCAGTGCAAATCCCAGAAACCCTGGAATTCCAACCATTCTGGACTTCTTCCAAAAAAGCATAGACAGAGGTCTTCAGCCCAGTACAGTTGCCCGTCGGTGTCTGCTCTTAGTAGCATGCTATTCACAACATGCTTAGGTTTCCTCATGGCAGACAAGCCACAGGTAGCCAGATTCCTTGGAGCAGTCTGGTTAGCCAGTCCGGCAGTCAAGCCACTCTTCCCAAAATGGGATTTACTGCTAGTTTTGGGGGCCCTGACAAGCCATCCGCTCAAACCGTTGACTACAGTGTTCTTATTTGTCCATTAAGACGTGTTTTAGTAGCTGCTGCATCCTCCAGGCGAGTGTCGGAGCTGGCAGCCTTATCTATGCAGCAGCCTTTACTGCATGTTCCATGAGGTCAAGGTGGGGTTCAGGACACCAGAATCTATTTTTACTAAGGTAAATTCCTACTACTTTGGTTCCCAAGAGGTTGTGCTTCCTTTGTTCTGTCCAAAACCACAGCAGCAAACAGAGACGACATGGCATACCTGAGGTTTTTAAGGCACTTCTGACATCTATACCTATCTCATAGAGCTGGAAGGGACCCTAAAAGGTCATCGAGTCCAGCCCCCTGCCTTCACTAGCAGGACCAAGTACTGTTTTTGCCCCAGATCCCTAAGTGGCCCCCTCAAGGATTGAACTCACAACCCTGGGTTTAGCAGGCCAATGCTCAAACCACTGAGCTATCCCTCCCCCCTCTATCTCAAGTGTACACAGTCCACAAGAAGATTGGGCTCTCTATTCTTGTCCTTCCACTCAAAATGGCAGGGACTTAGAGCTTCCAAGTCCTCCATTGATAGGTGGATTAGACTATGTATTGTGGAAGCCTACAAATCATTGGAGGTTCCTAGCTCAGAAGAGATCAAGGCGCGCTCCACAAGATCTGTAGCAACCTCATAGGCACAATGAGAAAATGCATCCCCTTTGGAATTTGAAAAGTGAACACTTGGTCTGCAGCTAACACCTTCATTGAGCACTATAGAATGGACTTTCTTCTGCAGTGGTCTCCTTTGGCAGAAAGGTGCTGTTGGTGATGGCCCAGAAATAATACAGGGCTTTTGGGTGAGCTCACTCAAAAGGGGGGTACTTCTTTAATACCAAACTCTTGTTTTATACCCCTCTTTATGTCTAATCACTGCTTGCTACTTCCCAGACATCCAGAATTGTGGGAGATGCTGCTTGCAGAAAGGAAATTGATAGGAAATTTTCTGTTCATTTTAATGAACTGTACAAATTATTTCATATGTCCATGTATTGCACCACAAAAACTATATTAAAATAACATTATTAAGGTTGCAAAGTCAAACATTCCAAAGCTAGGAAATGCCAGAATTTAGGTTGCCTGTGTGACATTAATTTGCTCCACTTGTGAATGTGTATACAGAGACTTTATCTGCTAAGCCCTAACAAGTCTCAGCTGAGCATGTGCAATTTGTTACAGGTTTATAACTTGGCCAAAATTGGGCTAATTTTTACAGGGATGGTAAAAGGCACATCCCTGACTCCAAAGCTATCTCCTGACAGATTTCAGGTTCCTGCTCCAAAGCATGGAGATGCTACAGCATTTTGAAGAAAAGGTTGCCAGAAATTTTTAACCTGGACAAAACATATTTTCCCCTAGTCTTGTTCTCAGAAATGATGAACTCTTTTGGCTGAAGTTTTACAAAAACAAGTCAATAAAAGGCTGACACCTGGCGTGGAAAATTTCAGCCCAAATGGTTAAAGTTTGGCAAATTTGTAAGCAAGTGAAGACAGGGTCTTTAATAAAGGGTGGTGCTATGAGCTGTCTATTTTAAAGTTTGTAACTGTTCTGCTAAATAGTTTTACAGTAACAAACCAATCCCAAAATTGTTTTGGTAGCCAGGACTATGGCTTTAAGAAAGTTGTATTGCTAATGAATGTGTTTGCAATGTGGCTAAATATGCCCTATAACAGATCCTCTTCTAAATGTTGTTAAACAGAAATCTCATGTTCAGAGGAGTGTTCTGGAAAATGACCTGCCTTTCTTAGAGTTCCATGGCTCTGTTGTTTATAGCTATGATGCCAGTGACTGTTCCTTTCTGTCAGAAGATATCAGGTAAAAGCTTGCATGTTTTCTTGGTGTGTGTGTCTATCGCTACCTCAGAAGGGTTTGTGTTTTTCACATGCACATCTATACCTGTTGTGCAATTTTCATACACATAGTGGGTCAGCTACTCAGCCATAGAAAATGTCTGTCGATAATAGATGTCTTCTCTTTAGTGTAAGTAGCAGAATTCTGTCTGGTTTTACATATTGTTTACAAGCACCAAGTGAAATTACAGTTTCTTAGGACTAAAAATTATCCATAAATGCTACTGAATGACATCTGCAGTGAGTGGAAATTTAGAAATAAACTTTTAACTTTAGCTGACTGGATGTAGTTCTGCATTTGTACCCTTTTTGTGAGACTTCATGTCTGGAGACAGCAGTCTTTAAAGTGCAAATCCTGTACTCTACAAGTGTGTAACTTTTCACATTGTGACTAACTCCATGGATTTCAATAATTTCAGTAGGACTACAGTGTGTAAAGTATGTGTTTGAATCTTTGCCAGATCAGAGCCTAAAGATATATTATCAATTCATTATGCAAATTGTTGGTTTCTGGATTTGGATAGTGCATACAGTATTTTGGGGGACAAACTTAACATAAGATCATCAGTAAATTGAGAAAAATAGTTATGAGCAAGAACTTCCAAAAATATATCTAAGGAAGGAGTGTCCAGTTTCTGTTTTTCTCTCCCTTGGGGTGAATTTAATTGTGGCACAGCAGGCCAACGAACCGGTGTCTGTACTGCATAAGACCTGTAGTTAAGGGTGTACGTTGTTTGGAAGGTGTCAGGTGAGCCCTTTGTAGTAGGGTGAATTTCACCATCAGTGTGGAGGCTGTTTGACTACCACTCTACTAACAGCCCCTGAACAGGGAGTGAGAGAAGTAGTTTTTTAGTCGTTCATTCTAAAGTAAGCTATACTGTTGTCATATGTTATAGATGATATATGTGTAATAGAATTACTAAATGGGAATTAATCAACCTGTTTTCTCTTCAGAAGAAACCTATCTGGTGGAGATGTGATAGGATTTGACATTGAATGGCCACCCTCATATACTAAAGGGAAAGTAGGGAAAGTCGCCCTAATCCAAATATGTGTCTCGGAGAAAAAATGCTACTTGTTTCACATTTCTTCAATGTCAGGTCAGCATCATTCTTTCTGTGCTCTGGTTCATATGGCCATGAATTGCCTCTCTGTGTCAGGTTACTTGATCTGTGCTTTTGCCTCCAGAAGCAGACAGTACTTCCTGTTTCAGCTGATAGAGAAAACCCACCCCCACTCTAGTGCACATATCCAACTATGCAATTCTGTGTGGGTATGTTAGTCTCTGTCAGCTCACATAGGTCGTTTATATCATGAAAGTGACACCGTTACTACAAAATTAATTTAATTAAAAAATCCTTATTGGTGTTATTAACATTGTAAATTATGGCTGAATCAATTTTAAAAGCTAGATTTTTTCAAAAGAGTTTAGTGTCCAGAAGGTCCCATCTGGGCACCTAAATGAAGTGGCCAGATTTTCTAAAGTGCTCAGTATCCAGCAGCTCCCATTGTTCCCAAACAAGGAGGAAAGAAAGTTTCCTTCTCATTTACTCTGCTAATGTTTTCATTTCTCTTTGAAGACGACTGTCATAGCTTACTTACACAGTCACCTTCTTGTGCTCCTGAGGAAGGGTTTGAATTCAGGAAAACTATCTTTACTAAAATAAAAAGTATTAAACATTCATACCATTTGCCCAATATAATTTGTTTGGTTCTCTCCCCTCCACCCCCCCCAGAAATGAAACTATAGGCCTATATTTTGCTGACAACAACCCTTATTACCTTGGCTCAACTGGTTAAAAACCTTATGAGTGGTCAGAATGCTATTGGTTCTTAAAATCTGTGTGTTATCCTGTATTCCTATAGGGGAGGTATCAAATATCTGCTGTGCAGACTAGTTCTAGCTTGCTTGATGTATCTGTGGCAAGCCTGGTGTGTACAGTGTCTGTGGAACCTAAGGTTTTGTGGTTGTAAATGAAACCACCTAAATGAACAGAGAGTAAACTGATGCAATGTTGTTGTCATGTGTCTGCAGACGTTCTGAATCTGTGTGAAAAGGGCCATTATTCTCATTGGGGTGTTCACTCTAATGTTTAATAACGACACTTTAAATGTCTGTATTTAATTGCTTATTTTAGCAAATGTGGTGGGGAGATGTTGAAGGGTAGGAAATTCAGATGGAAGAAAGGTACAAAGACGTGAAAGAGGGAGAGAAACAATGAAAGGAGGTCAAGTATC